CCCCGGCCCCAGTTCCCCCTCCCTGCGGCCTCTGCCCGTCTTCCCGACCCTTGGGGGCCAGGAAGACCCCGCCGGCAGCGGCCAGGACCCACCGCTCATTACGACATCTTCCTCCCTGGCCTCCGCCGCCTCCGCCGCCACCGAGAGCCTGACACCGCCCGCCCTGCACCCGCCAATCCCGGAGCCCGCCACCGCCCGAGCGACGGCAGCGTTCACCAATAAAAGTGCTGTACATTGGGGACCGACAGCACTGTTAACCAATCAAAGAGAGGTATCTAGAGCGACGTTGGTTTGGCCAATAGACCTATGAAATGTAACTGATGGACGGTAGAAGGCACCAACCGGAAGTCTACTGAAGAGTGAACGACATGTTCGCCAGCCAACTGGAGGGAAACAAAGTCCCACCCACGAGGTGGTTGATGGACAGCAACAGGAAGCTAGATGGGGCGGGGCCTAGCTGAGGAGTGGTTTTGTATTGGTCGTGGTTGACCTTCCACCCACCTCTAACCCAGAGGATGAGTGATAGATCTGCCCTAAAGCCAATCACAAGTCCTCAGGGTGAGGCCCTGAAAAGTCCCGTAAATAGCGTATAAATTACGCCTCAGTCCAGTGTCGCCGTGGTGTAGCAGGGGAGCCCTGCTCTTCGGCCACTCAATCCCATTCCCGGTGAGTGGAAAGCCACCAGCCTTTTATTTAGTCCCTCGCCCCTTATCGCCTCAGGAGAAGGAAATGAGCTCCCAGGCAACTTTGTTTTGTAACACGAGGCATTGGATACAATGCGGGAGTTGGGGCTACATAACTCCTGAGAGGGAATTCTTTTCACGTCTCAGTTCAAGCCCCTGTGATCCTCACCTAGTTATTGCAGCGACCCTCTACCTGACGGTCCCCAAACGTGGGCATCAGAATCACCTGAAGCTCTCTAGAAGTAGATTCCCGGGGCCGCCTCTCAATCCGATTCTGCACCCCCGGGGCGCTCCTGGAATACGCTTCCCAACCAGCGCCCCGCGTGGACAGAGCTGCCCCGCTTCCCTCTTTGAAAGAGGTGCTGTGAGTAAATAAAGCACTTCACAGGTTATACCCAAGTAAGTTTATCTTTTCTCCCAGGTCTTTTCTGTAGACATGTAACTTGGGAAGGCTGCCTCGCATTAGCGGGAAGGAATCCACTCGGACCTCCTACCGGCCTTGGTTGGAAACTTACCATCCCACTTGCAAAGAGGCGGGAGACCAAAACTCAGCCTGTGTCCTCACCTGTAAAATGAGGCTAATTAATCACACCTACACTAGAATAGTGGCTTTCCTTTTTTTTTTTTTTAAACCATAACCCACAGTAAGAAATATATTTGCCTCCGGTACAATCATACTCCTATGAGAGTGTATAACAAAGTTCCCAAACAATACTTTCTCCCTGGTATTTTAAATCCTGTCCTATCTCTTTCCTTTCTTTTTCTCTGTCCTTTTCTTTCTTTCCTGGAAGTTTGAAAAACACTGTCATAAAGGATTGATGTGATAAAAATAATATAAAATACTGAGCAGAATGCCCAGTACACAGAAATTGCTGAATAAGTGTTAATAGTCTCTTCCAGTCTCCTTCTCTCAGCCTTAGCCTTTGAAAAACAAGCCTTTAGAAAGATAGCACTGCTCTAAGATCCTCCATTGGCCCTGTACTCCTTTCTGGGTAAAAAGCGCAAACTTCCACTTTTTAGGCAAAGTCCTTCACGCTCTTTTCTGGTGTGTCATGCTTTATCTCCCTCCCGCACCCCATTTACCTCCTTCAGATCCTCTCCTTTTGCCTCAAAGAAATATTACAGTTCCTGAACTAAACTTAATGTTTCTCTCTACTATTTCCCTTCCTACCTAATCCTTCCTTTCTTTTGGTAAACTCCTACACATCCTTCAAGACTCTGCTCAAAGTCTGAACACCAAACTCCCACCCAGCCATAGCTTTTTCCTTCTCTGAACAATTGTTGGCACAAGTGTGAGTAAATTGCACACTTATTTTCACGTCTGACTCCCTGCTAGATCTTGAGCGGCCGGGGAAGGATTGAGGCAGTACACAGAGGACTGGCAGGAAATGTTTGCTGAGTTAAAGAATGAATATTTGCATACAATTATATCTGCATATGACTTGTTTATATAGACCACACATTCTGTTCCCAGGCCATTTTTCAAGTTAAGATTGCTTCACTGTCAAGCTAAGGACTCCACCCAGGTTCAGTGACTCAGGGATTTGGGGAGGGGGGGTGTAGGATTGAATATCCTGCTGGGCCTCTGCCAAACCTTTTGTGGGATGAAAGCTGGGGGCAGCTGTGCTTCTCCCACCCCCGGAGCCCCATCATGAAGACAGCAAGAGTGAAAAAAAGGCGTGCTTGTGTGTGCGTGGGAAGACAGGGTGCAAAAACTTAAAAGAATTTGGCAGCAGTTCTGAGTTACTTGAATGGTTTTTCCCTTTTGAAAGTTGCCATTTTCTTGTTTTTTCTTAATTTCTAGCCTATCTGGCCCCTCTCATAATAAAGGCACAGCTGAGGAAGGGGGAACTTCCTAAGGAGAGGACCTCCTTATACTTTTGTCAGGACTGTTGAAGTCTTTGAGCCTCATTTACAACTCCCCCAAACCACCTCACGACTTCTGTTCCCATAGATTTCTTCTTTCAAGATGGCCCCATCCTCAACCAAGAGGAAGGAGGCCAGGCAGCCAGGGTCTACATGCCTGCTTTCTCCCTGATGGCATCTTAGACTCATCAGAGAGCTTTTAATAAATTCTGAAGTCTGAATCCTACCCTATCCAGGCCAAGGAAATCAGACTCTCTGGGGTTGGGACCCGAGCGACAGTAGTAAGAAGTTGTTCAGGTGATTCCAGCAGGCAGCAAATGTTGAGAACCACTCCTTAGCCCAAAAGTATCTTCCCACTGGGGGTGCTCAAGTAAATAGTTTACTTGAACAGTCTGTACTTTCCACCCCCACCCACTCCTGTCCCTCCCCTTTCTGAATTTCTCCCCTTCCCCACCCTACCTGCCTCAGTCTGTGGAGCCAGTGCGGACAGGTGGTTCCTGCTGTTTCTCAACGTCAATCGATCAATTAGGGAAACATTTCTTCCCCGTGTGTCTGGGGCAGGTTCTCTTTCAGTGATATTTTCCTTCTTGTTTCCAACTGCTATCAGCTTCTTCCTGCTCTAAATAGTCACTTTCTCTCCATTTCTAATATACAAAGCTAACCGTTCCCCACCCTTAAAAGCCCCATGTTTGTCTTGTCCTCCGGTGCACTTTCCACTCCCAGTACATTACTCAATATATAGTAGGTACACAGTGTTTGTTGACTGACTGAATCCTCCTAACACATTTCAAGGACTTATCCCCTTCTCTTCCGGGCCCAGTTTCTTCCACCTCCATTTCGCTTCTTCCCTGTCTGCTTCTTAACCCCCCTTCCCTCTTTAATTTCCCCATGCTTTTCCTAACATTCCCCTTGTCCTCTTTTGAATGTGGCTGCCCTCATCAAATTAGTACCAGAGAATGAGTTTTTATCCCCAACGATGCTGAGGGCACTAGAGGGAGAGATGGATGGATGCAGAACTACAGTCCCTGCCCTTAAGAAGCTCCAAATTCCTGTGGGGGCTCCTATGAAGGGAACCGCATGTTCCAACTGATGCTGGATGCCCAGCAGCTAGAAGAATATCAGTGTCCCAGCTCTTGACCACCTGTTGGTCCTCACTCATAGCTATGACCCCAGCTTTATTGTTTATTTTTGAAGAGTTACAGCCAACTCAGCTTTCTACGGCTGCTCATTCTGCCTTAAGGATTTTCCCAGTAGCCTCTGCTTCTCCCTTTTCCCTCCTCAGGTTTTCTACATTCTCTGCTCTTTCCACCTGCAGAGAAATCAAAGTTGCAGACTTTTTAAGCCATCCTGACACTCTTATATGCCCAGAGAATGATTCGATAAGGCAAATACCTAGTTTAAATAAGTCATTGTTATTTTTTCCTCCCAGGTTCATCTATGAGTTCAATTATCTAGGTTTCCTCAGTCTTCTGTGAGTATAAAAAATTGACAGAGATTGTAAAGTACATCTCCCTATTATACTTTGGAAGCTACCCCACTCAGCACCCCAGGTGCATACACACAGCCACCCCTTTCTCCTCTGCCCAGGGATGCCCCTCCTGACCCATGCCCTGACTCATCAACTCCCTCTGCCTTCCTGGTTCCCCTGCCCAGACCGATGGCTGTTCACCAACTGCCATGGAATCTTCCAGCAAAGACATTCCACCCATACTTCCCCACAGGATTCTTTCTTCTTCTCTGGTTTTTCCTACTCCGGTCCCCTTGAGATGAGGCCTGTGGGGCTAAGGAAGAAAGGGCAGCTTCCACCCCCAAGAGAGGAGTCCTTTATTGTAGAAGGCACTAGTGCCCCTCAGCCCTTGCATGTCACCGCCAGGGGGCGCCCAAGCTCAAGGCATTTCCAAAAGCAGATGCTAGATTTTTTTCCCCCTACAAGTATAAAGCGGTCCCTCGGTTTTCTGATGTAATCTGTTCCTGAAAACAGTTCGAGTTTGCAAACATTTGAAAACCGAGGGATCCATAGCCAACAGCGAGGCCTCAGGATCTCGCCCTCAGCGGAAGCCGCGTGGCATGTTCGATTTCCGAGGCGTGTTCGAAAACCGAAGCAGTTACTCCCGGGTTTACAGCGTTCGTAAACCGAAATGTTCCTCAATGGAGCCGTTCGAAAACCGAGGTGCCATTGTAACTGAAATATAACATTATATTTGTTCCAAGTGTACAGCATAATAATTTGATATTTGTATATATTACAAAATTATCACAACAGGTCTAGTTACCATCTGTCACCACACAAAGTTACCTTTTTTTCCCCTTGTAATGAGAACCTTCAGGGTGCACCCCCCTGGCAACTCTCAAATACATAGGGTTTTTAACCTATGGAAGGGAAGGCAGGCATGGAAATTCCGTTTAACAAGCATGCATTGAGTGCCTACTGTTTGCCAGACCCGCTCTCTGCTTCACCTGGAAACAGTATGGCTCAGCTTCTGCAAAGGTTCCTTGAAAAGAGCCATTTGCCTCTTCAAGGAATTATTTCCTACCTACCAGCTTATTTCACCACCTCTGGTAACAGCATCCTTTCTCCAAATCAGCCTCTTCCCTGCACTAAGCCCCTCTCCACCCCTCCTGACACCACAGCTCCATAACTGCTTCTCTGACTACAGGCACAGCAGCCTGGAAACTTCCCT